ATGGAAAAACTGGCCTCAAATCCCTCAAAAAATTAACAAAGGTAAAAACCGAAATGCATCTGGGATAACCTGAAGATACTGTGCAATGTCCACGGCCTACATCGACGAGTATAGCTGATTCTGCCTCCGTCAGAACAGAAGCTACACCGCACCAAAGCCCACTTCTTTAACCAATCAAAGAACACACCCACCTGCCGGTCCCGGGAGTGGACACCAAATGTTTCATCGCTATGCGCCACTTACAGATCAAACCTGATAGCCGTGCTTCGGGGACTGCTGAATATTTCTCTTGCACACAGTTTCTCTGGTAGTACTTTCCAACTCATGTAATAAATACCAGATTAATCAGTCATCTTGTAATCGCACTTCCGTCAGCCCTTATACATCTGATTTCCACGCCAACATTCTGCGCACTTATATAAGCTTTTACTATATCGCTTGTAATTTAATATCGTATGTTAGCAACCCCTGGTCGCTAGTCTATTAAGTAAAATAGGTCTATATTCTATTACATATAGTCACTTGACATCACCGTAATCACGGTGGAAGTCAAGCTTTTCTTTCTAGGTGTAATAATGCACATTATCTGCTTGATTTCGCCATGCTCTACTAATCTCATCCCAACCCCTCATATTCCCAAGGTTTGAACCCTGTCNCAGGCAAGTCCCTACTCCGGATTACTCTATCAGCTCTGTCCAGTGACTGTCTCTCAGCCTTACTCTAACTGATAAAAACCAAACCAAATTCAGCTTTTTTCTTCATATTCAGAGCGCATTCTGCGCTTATATATACATCCACCTGCTGATTTGCCACACTAATCATTCTCACACGCAGCATTGTGGTACGCTTCTGCTCGGCATGGTAGCTCACACCAACGCTTCGAAGCCGTTTAGCCATGTTTTATTCGCCCTGAATATCACCATCTTATTCCCACCGTCGCATTGGCAGCTGCGACTTGCCTTTACCGGCGTCTGTATGCTGGTTGCTTGTTCAAATCGACTAAGCTGTCTTTACTGGCCTTGCTTGTCCCCGAACAAAAAATGGTTGCTGGAGTATCTATTAGAGCACAAACCGCATTCGTGTCTGCTCGGATGGTTTCCCACCCTTCAGATCTGGTGGCATGCACGAGGGACGAAAACTTCGTGTGGTGGACGGAGACCGCCCTGCAGGGAGGGTCGTCATATCACGTTGCACCATGGTGCGTTCATATACCCGCCTCCCCTTCATTAGCAAAAGTGCGTCGCCCATCGCTGGTGGTTCTGAGCCTGTCCTTTGAATTTGGGGAATCAAAGAAAGCACTGCTGACTTCTGTTTGTTGCTGCTGGTGTTGGACTCGCCTCGGTTGAGTTATGTATCTGGCAGCGCCATGAACCACAGATGGAAAAACTGGCCTCTAATCCCTCAAAAAATTAACAAAGGTAAAAACCGAAATGCATCTGGGATAACCTGAAGATACTGTGCAATGTCCACGGCCTACATCGACGAGTATAGCTGATTCTGCCTCCGTCAGAACAGAAGCTACACCGCACCAAAGCCCACTTCTTTAACCAATCAAAGAACACACCCACCTGCCGGTCCCGGGAGTGGACACCAAATGTTTCATCGCTATGCGCCACTTACAGATCAAACCTGATAGCCGTGCTTCGGGGACTGCTGAATATTTCTCTTGCACACAGTTTCTCTGGTAGTACTTTCCAACTCATGTAATAAACACCAGATTAATCAGTCAGTCAGTAGTCGCACTTCCGTCAGCCCTTATACATCTGATTTCCACGCCAACATTCTGCGCACTTATATAAGCTTTTACTAGATCGCTTGTAATTTAATATCGTATGTTAGCAACCCCTGGTCGCTAGTCTATTAAGTAAAATAGGTCTATATTCTATTACATATAGTCACTTGACATCACCGTAATCACGGTGGAAGTCAAGCTTTTCTTTCTAGGTGTAATAATGCACATTATCTGCTTGATTTCGCCATGCTCTACTAATCTCATCCCAACCCCTCATATTCCCAAGGTTTGAACCCTGTCACCGCCCGGTTTGGACGGCCAGGCTGGCTCTTATCCACTCCACCTGTCCTATGATCTACAGCCGCAGGATCTTTAAACGGACCAAGAAAACCTGCCATCTATATCGGATTCGTTCCGCCTTGTTTCCTAGGCCGGCCTGAAATGAATCCCGCTGCCCAGGGGACTGTACACCCCAGCACAATCAACTTAAATGTGACGTCGGTTACGAGGCTGTCGGAAAACTGAAGCATGTTAGGCCAACGATGGTATAGCACTGTCATACGCAGTTAGATAGCACACCCGCAACTATTCTTTCGGCCATGCCCTCTCGCTCACTCAATCCATTAATTGCAGATACGGCAAGTTCTACACCTCACCTAACTCTCTCCATGACGCATCCGTTCTAACCTGTTGAACTGGTCGTTCGACTTTAACAATCCCTGTTTCTGTGCATCCCAGAAAATTTAAAAACTTTCTATACAGTTCGTGTTCCGGCTTGCGTGTAGCCATCGTCGTATTCTTTCAAGGACTTTTTACACCCGACCTCAAAACAGTGACACCAATTCTCGACCGCAAACCGTCGCCCACTCGTACCTGTAATTGCAACTGCAAGCAAAATTTTCATCTGGCCCCAACCGTCTCTGGGACGCGTTCTTTCATCCCGGATGAATTTTCACTCAAGTGTGAACAGCTCGGTCTTCTGCTACAATTTTGACTGGCCTCTCCCACAAGTTCAGTTGCGTATACGGCCCTTGCTTTGCCCCACGCTTTAGCACCGTGTCCCCATCCAACCCACCCCTTGCACCTTCTCAACAACAGTGAAACCAGTGAGTCCGCTTAGTGTCAGATTAAACCACATTTCCGAGGCAAAACGTGCCATTTTCTCCCAAGTTGAAGCATTCCATCTCCATCTCCACTTTCTTCCGTTGTGTCTTCGGCGATTTACCCAAACACCCAATGCCACTCATGGCCAGCAATGTTTTTTTTCAGTTTTAGTTCATGTCAGCCAGCTGTCTTTAGACCACTCGGACCTCACACACATTGTTCCCTACGAGTCGTGAAAGAAGTCTGTTATTATTACTTTATCGAATACTTCCCACTGTTTATGACATTGTCCTCTTTTGCGCAATCCTCACTACCCGCAAATCCTCCAGTCATGCTTCATTCTGACTGTAAACTTATGGTAATGCCGGACGGCATGCTACCCACATGTTGGGAATAAATTTATTATTAGTAGTATTAACGCGCATAGCTGAGCCCCCATAATCAAGGCCGTACATGGGCACGGGTTTAGTATTTACTAGCCATAAACAGTCAAGGTAGTGGACAGCGCGTGCAGTTTCAATGATAACCGGTATTGGTGGACCTTATTTTTCGCCTGTGAATTTGGGCCTGATGACGTATTCTAAGAGGCACAATTATTTCCAATGGGAGAGATATTTTTCAGTTGTCATTTTATATGCAAAAATTTCATAACACCGCACTATCAACTAACCCGTCATTCACATCAGAGAAGGAAGCGCATTCACAAAGGAACACACCACCATCTATACTTTCCAGCGCACCATTATGCTGAATAGGAGTTGAGCTTCCAAACAGTGTGTTGCACCGACGCCCGCTGGACCAACTCAACTAATTTGTTACGTTTGAGGGTTTCTATGTATGTCGAAGTTAGCTCATTATTGTTCTTGGTATTCTGTTCATGTTATCTCGCTTGTAAAAACACCACGAAATGTCGCGATGTGCCTTATCCCGTAAACTAGTAGTTGAATGCGTGTCGGTAGAATTTGAAGACATTGTGAGTTTACTCACTCAAGCAGAATGCTATCAAAAACATATAATCGAAACGTGCAAACGGATTAGACCGATTACCCATGAACGTCGCAACTTTAAAAACCTTTTATCCTACAGAAAAATAATTTGCTTGTTTTTCTGGTGGGTGGCAGGGCTAGCGCTCATCCTTAGATGCACCCACAGTATCTCTGAAACCATAATTCCTAGGAGAAACAATTTGAAAATTTTAGCTTGTGACGGTGTTGATTCGACCTATTGGGAAATCCATACGCGGCGGTAGTTCTGTTGGAATCCGTTAAAACGTACTCACTGCCAGCTAATTGTGCGGGGATCATGTTTTCAATGGTTCCGGTGGCGGAGCATTTTCTGTTCGTAAAGCGGGTGAACAACACTCTAGAGAAGGCTGTCCATTCAAGTCTTCCTGTTTCATTGCATTCCAAATCTTTTTGCCAGAATACGCGATCAACAAGTTCATATTTTCCATCCACGCAAACTCCAAAAAAGTCGAAAAATCGCTACTTCAGTATGAGAAAGCGTTTTAATGATGCAGTGAGTGTCCCTTCGACGAAGTGAGAGCCGCGGAACTCGTCGCAGGCAGTTGGTTTGTCGTTATTTGTTTATGGCTGTTGGCACACATCGTAGTGGTTGTCCAATCATGTTCCACGTTCGTCGGTACAGTGAGGATTTGATAGCTGTATCTTATCACCTGGAGCACAACTGCCCACTTGGGAAGTTTATTTTGCTAGGCTCATAATTAGCCTGCGCCTGGAGCGTGATGAAGTGAAGAAGCGTATCCTTCTTTTGAAGTGTGGTGCTCCGTCGTCGGAGGTTTGCCAATGCGTCACAGATCGTTCTGGAAAGATACTGACTATCCAGGATCTTTACAATTACAGCGTCATGTGCAGGCCCCCATTGGTAAACAAGTCGTTGGTCAGGGATTTTTGATTGCTTATATGACATGTCGCCGGTGAAAGCAGTGCTCCTAAGATGTGGCGGTGTACTGTTAGCAGAAACTGAAGGTGGCATCTTTAGTCACCTCTGCTTTTCTCGCACGCAGCAGCTTGTACATTTTTGACGTCTCCTGGATTTGGGTAATGGTACTGCTACTCTCGAGAAGAACCCCATTGGGTAAATAATTTCAGAGCCTTCGTCGTTCATTGGGAAGTTTCCTAGTAATGAGTGGCTTAGGCATCGAGTGACCCATAATGTTTGCTATTGTAAGATCAATTTGTACCGGAGAACATGCAGGTAGGGACATATGTTCATTGTATATATTTGGCCAGACAAGTCCGCCCTGTAACGAGTAAGCAAATATCTGAGTCACATGTCCAGTCATCTCACAAACAGTTCTCTAAGTTGCACGCGTGCGAGCCATCAGACACGAATCCAATAAGTCACTACCGTCACACTCCATATTAGTTATGGACTGACGAACGGACGCATACGCGCAAACTCTCTGACATATTGAGGTGACTACAATACATGCCTTTGTCAAGAGCGGGCATTTTGGGCTTTTGAACAGGCTGTTCTGCTTATTCAAGAACATGATGAAAGCAATACTTGGTCAAGACGTTTGTCATGGACAGGATGACGTTGCGGATACGGATTGTTTTGGTTGCGTTTGTCCGCGACATAATGCCGTGCTATTTTCATGCACGGCAAGCCGTCCGAATACACCTACGACTGACTGTATTGTACCTCTTG